CGTGCTCTGATACCAATTGTTGGAACCCATGAGGATCTCGATATGCACAAATCACGAACATACATTCAACATAAACCTATGCGCAACGGATCTAAAGGTTTGATGTAGAAAACTTACGACTTAAAATTTATGTAGATCTGGCTGGCCCGAATAGATGACTGCAAATCAAATCTTCTCGGAATCGAACAAACTTGACCAATCCAGAAAGCTAGCATCACGGCGAAGTCAACGGCGTTGACCGATTGAAAATCGGAGGGTTCACGTGCTCTCACGCACGCGTGTAAGTTCCAGCAGCTGGGATCTTCCGGCGGCGCGTGTGGGCGCGTGCGGCGGCGGCTGGCGGCGATCTCGACGGCGATCTCTCCGACTCGTCGTCCTGGTCGTCGTGGTATGGTCACTTGCTGGTTTTGGTCTCCGATTTGGATGGATGATAGATCTGATTAGAATCCCGTATATACCTTAAGATCTTCTACTGTATTCTCAAACAACTATCTAGATCTTGTATCAGTGGAGCACAAGAAATAGAACAACTCCTTGGAAGAGAGAGAGAGAGAGGCGGACGTGACTCCCTATTGTATGGAATTGTGTCTTCTCTTCCATGAGCCTAATGCTGTATATATAGAGCTACAGTAGGGACCCTAAGGAAAATAGGATAAGGGTTTCTAATATATTAATACTGTGGAGCAACCCCACAATTAATATATTAATAATATTAAATTCCACCACAATAATATTATTGCACTCCCCTCACCTATCCCAAATTACATTTGAGACTCCTTATTATAATTATCCGATTTACCTCCCCATGTTTAAGATATAATGTCCATTAATTAATTCGATCACTAATAATCAAGAATTAATTAATATATTATATTACCGAAGCTAGCGCTCGCTCATAGCATTTATATTATGCCGGAATAAATTTACCTGCAGGGTTTAGCATAATATTCCTTCATGAACTTACTTCGGGGACATCATCATACTAACGCACATGGTGACCGTAAATATCCTAATAGCACATCGAACACATAATGTCATTACCCAATTTATTAAGTATGTCAACCCTGCTTGGATCTCACCCAAAGAATAAAAGCAACAACAATTATGTGCACATGCTTATTTAATATCTTACGGGTTAAGAGCACACAATAATTAACTGAGGCCTAGTTCGTTTACGACGATCAGTATAAAACGAACATCCCTCTCTGGGATCCTGTTGAATACATAAATGTACCAGTGCAACTAATCGGTCAAGACAAACCCTACGGTTGACACTACAACCGTTCCGATGAGTTGTTCAATTCCATCTAGGTTGTGAACCAATGATTCTTGTTTCGCAAGTAACTGATATAGTGATCTTCGGTATGCCCGATGACGACCCACTTATCTACATGCAAAAAAACAGAACGTGGAACTTATTTAACCAAACATAATTCTCATTCATCAAGAAATAACAAGTGTAATATCCACTAAAGCAAAGCTTAAGTATATAACACCAACAAGTCCACCACATAATATTTTCCTATCATCCAAAGTACATGTATTATTAACTTATTATATCCTTAAATGAATATGGTAACGTTAATATCATTTGGGGTAAAAAAACTGTTTTGCAAAATGTTCGAAAAAGGAAAGAAAATACAACATACCCTCAGGTGGCCACGGGAAACTATTTGTGGGGTCTGTCAACGTTTCAGCAAATATACGAGCATCATTCGTGCTACCTTCCCAGCCCGCTAAAACGAAAGTGAACTTGCAATCAAAGTCACATGCGACCATAACGTTTTGGGACAAATAATCTTTGCGACATCTATATTTTCCATGATCTTCATCAGGTATCCAAGCTGGTATGATGGTTCAGTCGATGGCGCCGATGCAATCCTGAGTTAAGTTTAAAAAATTATTAATGCTATGATTGAAAATGGCTAATCATAAAAATGCAATCTTTTTTGTATGCGTGTCACCATAAAGTAGGGATATAAATATCGATCCTTTCGTATCCAATCAGGAACATGACTAAAATCCGGTGGACGTATGTATTTGGGAGCCAATTTGTATAGGGCAGTGACCATGATATGCACATGACTACTAACCGTCTTCGTAGATCGACTAAATGACTCAGCATCACGTTGATGCCTTTAGTGACCTTTTATCGTATGCAAGACAACGCGACACTTTCTTGAATGCGGACCTTTTGTTGTCTTGCATCGCCATGGCAACCCGTCTGTTTTTTTCTTTGCAGAGCAACTTGAAAACTTTTTTGTTCATACCCATTGCATTGTAGAATCTTTGATCGTGTCCCGATAGGAGTTCATTAATCCAGTCTGCTCTGGTGTACGTCGATTGTCGATACGGTATCCTTCTCATAGGCGGATTAGATTGAAACGCTGCGAGAACATGCATAAGTTGTTGTCGTTGAAACTCGAGCATATTAGTAAATTGTTGCAAACAGGATAAATGAGACGGCTCAGCAACATCGTTAACATCTTCAACCATGTTGTTGTAATTCTTCACCGACATCATGATCCACGTCATCGTAATCTTGGTCGTCATTACAACGCGACATCCTAGAAATGAAAAGAGTGGGACCAATTTTTCAAAAAATGAACAATTACTTGTAAATGAAAAAACAACAATTACTTGTAATTGAAAAACAAGACAACATCAAATACCAAATTCAAACAGCACATAAGTCAAATAATATGATGAAGAAAACAATTGAAGTCACACAAATGCGTAGAAAAAAAAAAGAAAGACAAATCCAGTTTTCATAATTTCAAAGCAGCAAGCAAGCCAAATAGTTCAAGTGGAATATATAAATGTAGGGCAAACAACATCAGCCCTAATAGCCATCATCATCCATCCACATTTGTAGAAGTGCAAGCCGGTTTTCTTCCAGTTCCAGTCCAAGGAACGTGTACATGCTCCACGGGTCACGAAACTTCTTCCAAGCTAACTTTCGAACAGCCATGGGGACATTAGGTAAGGACTCCAGCGCCTTCAAAGCTTGTTGGAGGCTCTCTTGATCCTTTTCTGGACGCGGACGCGCATTATGCTGGATTATGCGGCTTGCTTCAGTAATAGAATTCATGGTCGTGTCAAAGTCCGAAGTGGTCCCTCTACGGCGACGAGTGCACCGATCGCTGTCTGGGGTATTCATTGGCTCATCACTCCCATCAGGAAACAAATAATTTGGCGGCGCTGCCGGGTTTGTTCTCTGACGCCTGCCATTTCCAACAGGTGTTTGTGTAGATGCCCTTGCACCCATCCCAGTTGCAGTTGTCCCGCTAAAAATGGTGGTCAGCTCACGGTAGTGCACGCACACCCTTTTCTTCATGTCATTGTCCTGTGGATGACCCTATTTTTCGAAAAGAGTGGACACATAATAAGCAGATTGTAATATACCGTCACTTTATTAATGTAATTACGCGTTTAGTTCCGAAATAATTATTTTATCGATTATATTGTTCGGAACTAATTAATCCAATCAAGATTCTTCGAAATTATTTTCGAAATCATGTTAACGTTCGGATTAATTTTGGTATTTAAGTACCAATCTTAAGAAAATAAATCATGCATTATCCACTAATTAAGCATATTAAGTAAGCTTAATTAAGGATAAATTATGCCAAATCATACTCTTAGTGCCGTAAGCATTTAGGAAGAAAATTTCATGGAAATTATCATGTCTCTTAAGCATGAGGTGTCCAAATTTTAACACTTAACTTATGACTAAGCTTGGTTATGAGATGAATAAGCCAAATCTTGCTCAAATTAAGCCTAAGCACGGCAAATGGAGCTAGGTGATTGGTCAATATTACTTTTTCACCTCTTCATTATAGTTTCGGCCATATATTTGCTAAGTGTTGGGAAAGTTGATCATACTCCTTCAAGTCAATGTTCAGCTCATATTCCATTCCAAAGCTAAGTTTAAGTAGAGAGAAGTGAGGGATTAAGGTACTCTTGCAAGTCACACGCACGGTGAAGCACGCACACACGCACGGAGGCGCGAGCTCCAAGTGATCACAAGCAGCTAGTGCGATCAGCCAAGCGTTCGAAGAGGTAGATTCATTTTCATCATATTTCCAAGTTAGTATGATCGTTTTAGGTGTGATATGTTCAACTCATAGTCTTTAATTCATGAAAAATCAAGTTAGGTTCGGTTTTTATGCCTTTTAAGCCATGATCAAGTTATGTTCGAATTTATTTCGAAACCCTTGAGCAATTTTCATGTATTCAGCCAGTATATGCTATTTTATGAAACATCAAGTCAAGTTGGTTGATGGAAGTTGTCGTTGGGTCGGTGAATTGGCCGAAGGACGTGAGCTGCGCACGTAGCGCACGCCACAGGCCATTTCGGGTCCTACCAAGTTATGTTAATTCATGTTAATAATCTCCCGAACAAATCATGTTTATTTGATCATGTTATGTCATTATATGTTCGGTTAGTTTATGTTTGTCGGGAAAAATTCACGTTCGGTCGAGGAAAATGGCTCAACGCCATAAGCGGCGCACGGTGCGCACGCTACGACTATTTATCCGAACAAAGTTCATGTTTTCTTGTTCAATTTCAGGGTATTAG